ATATAACCAAACACCGTAGATGAGTGCCTCATAAACAATATTTATTCCCCATAGTTCTGAAGGCTTTAAGTCCAGGATCAGGATGCCAGTATTTTCAGGTCTAACAAAGGCGCTGTTCTGAGATGCAGACTGCCAACTTCGGGCTTTGTCCACATTTGATGGAAGGGGCTAGGGATCTCTGTGGAGTCTTTCATAAGAGCACTAGTCCCAGGGCACCTGGGTGGCTCAGTTGGTTAAGCATCTGCCTTCATCTCAGGTCATGATCCCAGGGTCCTGGGATCAAGCCCCGTGTCAGGCTCCCTGTTCAGTGGGAAGTCTGCTTCTCCCTCTACCCCTCCCCCTGCTTGTGCTCTCTCCTTCTCTCTCTCTCTCTCAAATAAATATTTTTTAAAAAGAGTGCTAATCCCATTTCAAAGTTTCCACCATCATGACCCAAATTCTTCCCAAAGGCCCCACTTCCTACTACTATCAGCTGGGGGGTTAGGTATTAATACATGAATTTGGAGGGACACAAACATAACTGGGTCTCTTTTCACCTATCACCTCCTTGAGTGTGGCCAGGAACTGTGACTTACTTTGAGTAATAGAATGCGGTAAAAGTATGTGCTGTCACTCCCTTGATTACCTCATGCCATATTCTGTTTTAAAAGCAGACAGGAGTGAGAGACTCTTCTTGCAGGCGTAAGGGTATAAGTAGCCATGTGGGAGAATCCCATGTGGCAGGGAAGTAGAGAAGCCCTCTAGGGTCTCAGGGTGTCCTCAGGGCAACAGTCAGCAAAAATTCAAGGTTCTCATCCCCACAACTACAAGGAAATGAATTCTGTCAACAACTTGATGGAGCTGGAGTTCCCCAGTCAAACCTCCAGCTGATAATGCAGCCCTGATTACAGTCCTGTGAGACCCTGAGCAGAGGACCCAGTTAGCTGCGCCTGGACTCCTGGTCCATTGAACCTGTGAGATAATAAACGTGTGTTGTTTCAAGCCTGTAAGCTTGTAGCAATTTTTAAATTCCATAATAGCAATGATTGCAATGTCTTACTCTTTCGGACTCTTTCATTGTTTTTAGTAGCATTTGGGGAAGGAGCCGAGGTGAATATTGCGTGTAATCAATGGGTTAGAGAAACACGACATATGATGTGATCAAACACACTTTTTTTTTAAATCGTCCTTATAAAATTAATTGAGTGGGTAAAGCTTTTGCTTCCCACCTGGTACGTTCCATTTATCACTCCAACGTGTTCCACCCAACGCAGCACTGTGGTCACTTTCAATAGCTAACATGCTCTCAGTTTGGTGATGAGGATGTCCAATCTCATGTAATAGTAATAAGTACAAATAATGTTGTGTTAAATTTCTCTTCTCCCCCAACAGAGTCCTGCTTTGGGTTGACTGTTTGTACTGGCACAGCTTTGCTGATGGACATTTTTGCTTAGATTTTCTTTTGCTCCTTCTACCCCATCTTGGGTACTGAGGTTTCTGACCCCCTTTCTCTCAAGTTCAGGAAAGAGAGGTTTGTATTACAAGACTGGGTTGCCTTCACACAGTGTCAGGTTTCTCTGGATAATAAGGGAAGGTGCATTTGGGAGCTCTTCAGAAATTCCAGATCCCTGACCTCTCTCACATGTAATTCCTTCAACTCATGCAAATTCATCTGTATTCTATGTGCTCACTTGGGACTCCTTCCTCGTCCCCTAATCTGGCTTCATCTCTACTTTCTTGCTGCTCCACCACTTTGGGTGGCCCTATGTCCCACAGTACTCAAGACAAACCCATATTGTCTCTCTCTTACTTGCTGGTCTCACCATGCACCACATGTATGGGAAGCACACAGACACGCTTCACCTGCCAAAGCCTAGGCGTGGAGGCTGGTCTCAATGCAGAGACTATTCAGGATCCCACTGCTAGAGCTGCGGCCACAGTTCCAGGCAAGCATCAGAACCCTCCTTCCCTCCTCCCCGTCAGCCATGTGATCTAAGGGAGGGCAGAGAAATCTTTCATTAAGTTTGTCAAGGGACAAGCATCTCTTCTTCTCTCACCTTTTGGAGTAGATGAGAAGGTTCGTAGAGCAGCTTTCTCCAAGGAAATTCTCAAAAAAATTTTTTCTTTTGATTTGTTCATCTCTGTAGAGTATGGAACCATCTACCGGTTCTCCCATCATTGCCTTTGACTATCTCATTTTAGCATTTCATGTGTGCTGCATCTTGGTGCCACGGGGGACCTTACATTTTTGCTTGCTGTATGTATGCCTATTTCATCCACCACCATTAACCAGAAATCCCCCCTTGCTCTCTATTTGAATATTATGAAGGCTACTCATGTCGGGAGACTAACAGATACTTCAGACTTTATAACTCTTCAAATGACCCACTCAGAAATCTGTTCTCTGCCCTACTTGAACATGCCTACTGAATGTTCAATGTGTCCATGGGACTGAATTCAGATGCACTGCCCTGAGTAGGACATGTTTTGATAAAGAGCCTGGCCTGAGTACCAAATGTTTGGCACAAATTCACATACTCTGTTGCTGTCTTCCAACAGTGACCCCAAATGGGCACCATGAAAATGCATCCACATCTCCTCTCTTGTCAGGAGGAGAAGAGTGAAAGAATGTGCGGAGGGACTGTCCAGTCTGGAGTTTGACCATTATGGGTTTGCTCTTGACTAAGTGCTGGCACTCACATCTGACCTCTCTAGCCTGAAAGACAGAACAGCTGCCTGTGAATATACCCAGGCAAACCGAGGCAGAGATGGGGAGGAAGCTACCCCGAGTCCCTCTGACACCATGAGCATCAGGAGCCTTAGAGACATCTAGGATCAGAACTCTTGGCAGGGACATTGGAATGTCCATGAGAGAGAGAGATGTGGGGCTGAGGTTTCACCAGAGATTCTATAAGCAGCAACTGTGAATGTATGAGAGGCAGAACAAGAAAGGGAGGCAAAGGTGGGTGGACCTAGTCAGGGTTGCCACAAATGATCATGCAGATTGTGGCCTAGACCACTTACGGTAGCACCATTAATAGTGCAGGCGGGAGAGGGGCACCCTCTTCACTACACAGCCTGTGAAGTCATGTGTGGTGAAACTGTCAGGCTGTCCTTCATCATTCCCTTGGAGACTTCAAGAAATGACTAGGAGGACATGTTGAAAAATCCTAATTTCAATTAAACAGAAAAATAAGAACTCTAGATATTGTTATGGACCAAACTGTGTTTCTGCAAAGTTCGTAAGTTGAAGCCCTAATCTTCAATGTGCCTATATTTGGAGATAAAGCCATTTAGGAGGCATTTAAGGTTCAACAAGGTGATCAGGGTGGGGTCCTCATCTGATAGGATTGGTGCTCTTATAAGAAGAGACACCAGAAACCTCTATTTACATGAGGACAGAGACCATGTGATGACCCACCAAGAAGGTGGCAGTCTATGAGGAAGAGTGGTCTCATCGGAAAATAACCCTAAAGACAGCTTGATCTTGGATGTCCTAACCTCCAGAACTGTGAGAAAAAGAATTTCTGTTGATTAAACCACCCAGTTGGTGGTATTTTGTTATGGCAGTCTGAGTTAATATACTACTGTAGAGAGTTATTAAAAGTGGACATGACTTCATCTTGTAATCACAGGCTGCTGAGACTCAACCCATCAGGGTTACACATAAAATAGTAACTAGATGATGCAATACCACTAGAGGATTCTACAGACCAAAGAGTGTAGGATCCAAATTACAAGTACATAAACAATGCCATTTCCTTCTAGTCTGACTTAAACAACCTGCTTCCCATTATAATTCAACATCCACAGCTACTGTGCTGGCACTGCCCATTCACCATCCATGTTGCCCTGCTCACAGTCTTTAACCTCTTCGTGGCTTCTTTTTCTGCAGCTGTCAAACAGGGACACTCATGTTCCCTATTCACAAACTTATTATAAAGATTAAATGAATTACTATAGGCAAGACACTTAGAATAATGGACACTTGCTTGAAACACTACCTGTGCAGATTTCTAGGATTTCTAAGATTTCTGGAAACAGGATTGAATTAAAAGGCTCCATTCTTCTGGATCCAGCAATCAGGGTTGAAACTCATGTGAGCCCAAGGGGTGAAAGTGTGGAAAGGAAATGTTGTTTCATGTAGTGTCTATCTACCTGCTGTACTATATTTCATTCAACAGTGGCATTGGCTATAGATTCAAGGAATCCCCAAAATGCAATGAAAACCGGGATGTGTTAGGGTAGCTCCATAGACAACCAAAATCTCCTTCAATTTTCCTCTTACACAGAGAGAATTATGGCAGTATTGAATCTAATATCTGACCTTATAAATTTTGTTAGTGTTGCAAGTGATTTCCAAAAGCTGTTATGGGCTATAGAACTGGACTAGGGACCCCAGGTCTTAAAAGTCCCAGGGCCCCTTTACTGGCTTCCCAATCTTCACCTGTCACTCTGCCTGTCTGAACATCTGTTTCCTCATCCCTGCTCTAGATCAGCCTGGACACCTCACTTCACTGGACTGGGGACCAGATGAAAGCACCCTGTAGACTGAAAAAGGTTGTATTACCTATGAAATATTATTTTACTTCCCAACTAACGCCTACAAAGCCATCTGAAATGGAATATTTCATTGGATTTCTGATTAAATTTCAAAATTAAGTAGCTAAACCTAAAAGGCAAAAATAAGCATATAATTCAACTGAAAAATTGGGGAGGTAAATGCCCTTTCTCTAGGAAATTTGCATCAGTGACTTTTTGATAGAAAGTGCCCATGGTCCATCAGTTTATCCAAGGTGATTTCATGAAGTTTTCTTACTCCAATTCAGATAACTGGAGAGGTCACTTGAATAATGATATTTTATAAGAAAGGAAATCATAGTTTGTAGCAGTGAAAAGTTGGTACCACTGATGTGATTTCCAATAAAACCTACTTTTTTACATTTATGATGCAATTCCTTTGAATCAAACCACATGGAAATAAATTGTTCCATTTAACTGAAGATACAAAGAGCAGTGATGAAGCTGCTGAAAGCTTCTTATTTTATTCCAGACTCCTAAACCAAAAAATTCCATTTAAGATTGAGCTAATTTTTTCACTGACATTTAGCTCTAAATGTCAAGTTGCACCAAAAAATTTTTCTTGAGTTTATGGTTCGCAGCCTTATTCAGTTGATAAAAACTGAGTTAGCATGATGTCGTTTGAGGATTCTCCAGCATGAGAAAGTGCATAAATGCCTATGAGAGGAAAAAGAGGATAAGAGTTATGTTTCTATGTCGGAATCAAGCATGAGACCAAAATGAAAATAAGCCTATGCAAATCCTTGCAAGTCTGGCCAGTTCCAGGAAGACGGCAGGGAAATCTACAGAAGGCAATTGGTTGACAGGCAGTATTTCATTAATGCCAAAGAGACCGGCATTTGTCAGACATCTCTCATTTGAGAAGAGAAGCATCACATCTTTCAGATGCTGTGGAAAATGAGATAAAGTAGATGTGAGATCATAAAATGTTATTGCGAGAAGGAAACTTCATGATCTCTTCGTTTTTCATTTTACTGATGAGGGACAAGCATCCAAAAGGTTAAGAGGTTTATAAAAAGCACTCAGAATGGTTGGTGACAGTGATAATGGGACCCAAGGCTTCTGGGTGAGCATGCTGAACATTTTGGGAGGGAAGTGCTGTTTCAAGTTCGGAACCTTGAACTTTATTTTGGAAGTCAAATAATTTTGCTCACAATCTAAAAGGAATGGCCCATTTCCCTACTTTAATAAAGATATTAACATAATTTAACAGGAAATGGAACTCAGGCACTAAAAGAGGACTTCAGCTTGACTTGTCATGCAGTGACTTTTCCTGACCCCCATGCCCCACTCTTCTCCTCCAGGCATAGGGCAACAATCTACAATGCTTACAGACATAACAGTCTTCCAGGAGCTGAATATCATCGGCTTTAGCAGTATCCAATATGTGAGCATAAAAGCAATGCATGTCCCAGGTGGAGGGGACAGTGCTTTCTCACCCATAGCAGGTGATGGCTTCACCTTGGTGGGGACATTTTAGGGAGGAGAGTACATCTGATGGAGCACAAACACATAGCCCATGCCCACTGCTCAGCAGGTGGCACAAGAAGGGTCACTCTCCCGTGACACAATTGGTATTTGACCACACTCCTGCACCCCATGACCTCGATGATCAATGTCACTGATTTATAGAATGTCTAAGTGATGGAATGGCTGTCATTTGTGATGGAATTAAAAGGGACAATAGTGGTCTCCGTGAGCATCAACTTCCCCACCATGTTCTGTCAGCCCTGAGCACCAACCAGATGAGCTCCGGAAACGTGACCAGCAGATACACCTGCACTTCTCACATGTTGTTAAAAGTAGCCCTTCAGGGGTGCCTGGGTGGCTCAGTTGGTTAAGTGTCTGCCTTCAGCTCAGGTTATGATCCCAGAGTCCTGGAGTTAAGCCCCATATTGGGCTCCCTGCTCAGTGAGGAGTCTGCTTCTCCCTCTCCTTCTGCCCCTACCTCCCCCCATTGTTCTCTCTCTCACACAGTCTCTCTCAAATAATAAAATAATAAATAAAAATAAATTTAAAAGTAGCCCTTCAGTTTTCCTCCTATGATATATTCCCATTCTTCTATTTTTTGTTAACCTTTGGCTTACTGTTAACTCACCTTTGTGCTGCAATGGGTTGAAAGTTTTTGGGAACTTGGGTTTGGCAGGCACATCTGATGAGTCTTGCTGCATCAAAGAAAAACAAGTCATTTGTACATTAATAGTATTCTTTGAGTCATGCTCTGCATTTCCTGACATCTTAATGTCATTAGCAATTCTTTACTTCACTTATGTGGTGCCCTGTTCTCTTTTCGAGAAATTAGAGTACTCCTTTCTTACCCCTTCTCTGGCTTTAATCTATTTAAAATGCCTAAAAACATATTTCTAAGAGAATCTTTTATTCCTGTTAATTCTCACAACTTTTAACAACAAACTAGAAAATAGTTTTAAGGAAGGCATTATCTTTTGGCACGTCCATGCTTAAATTTCTTTGGTTCACACATTTATCTCTAGAAGAGGAACCCCTGGAGAAAAAACAATAGTTCTATAAAAATGGTCTCAAATAAAACTTTGCCTTATTCTCACTTATCTTAGCATTCAAATCCCTTTGTGAATAATCTTTTAGTGACTGGAGCAGAGGCTAAACGGAGTTCAAAATTTTGAAAACTGAATTTTCTAATGGAAATAAAGTATTTAAATAAAAAATGTACTTTTGGGGAAAGGTAGACGTTTAAGATACATTGTGTCTTTGTCTATTCGATAATTGATTTATTCATTAATTTAATGTCTCCTATTGAATACCACCGTGTGCTAGACACTAGGAATATTGGAAAGAATGAGCTTCCATTTCCTGCCACAGTCCATGTCATAAGGAAGCTAAATCAAGATGGGAGAAATAAGTTCTTGTTATATGCAGTGGACAGCCTGATGATAGCTCCTAATTTTCACTGAAATATATAAATGGCTACCCCACATTGAGCCCTAGGGGTGGTGGGGGGAATTACCATAGAGACAGGAATGAGAAATGTCTAAAAATTCCAAAGCAAAATAATTGATTTTCTAGAAGTCTGGACTCAGTAAACATATAATACTATAGTCCTAAAGACAAATTCTATAGTCATCATCATTGCATTTAAAACTGAATCTCGTCCCATTTAGAGAGAAGAATCTTAGATTACAACACACCCAGGGACTCTACACAGTCTGGGGAAAAGCAGCCTCTTCAGATATGGGGCTAAGCTGTTGGTCAAATAACAGGACCTGAGTCATTGGAACCATTAATAAATAAACCTCTTCTCTCTGGAGAGAGAATCTGTAGAGGTCACCAGTGTCTGTCTTTCAGTGAAGAGTCACAGAGAACTTAGCTGGGGACAATGGAAGGACTAGGAAGGGTCCCGGAGCCCCCAACAGGGAGAGGATTTTGAGAGAAACCACACTGTGGGTTCACACAGTGTCATGGTGCCTTGAGGGATGGTCTTTATGGAGACCATCATTGGCTTCTTTCATTCCTTTTAGCCAACAACTCAAATTTTCACTGCTTTTAAGACTCCTGTTTTACCATCCATTTCCCATCTCTTAGTGCATAGCCTTTTCTCCTCTACTTTAAAAACAAAACAAAACAAAACAAAACAAAACAAAAAAAGGTGTCCAGGTCTGAATTCTCTCACACCGTGACCCAATCTGCCCATGTTGCTCCATCTGCATCAGACTGAAGCTTCCTGTGTCCGGGGAAGAGTCTGATCCCTCCATCTTCAGTCCACTCACTTCATCTGCCTTTCCAGGAATCCTCTTCCTTCAGACACCCCCACCCCCAGTTGTCTTCAGACTCTAAGACTCTCTTTGCTGGCTCATCCCTCCCACCATATGGATTTTCTCACATCCTCGTGACTCAGCTCTACCGTCGCTGCTGGTCCCGAGTCTGTGTTTGGTTTCCACCCTCATTCTCTTTTCTCTCACAAGTCTCTTGACAGGAACATTCCTACTTAGGTATCTTTTCTTTGCCTTCTCTCTCCTCAATTGCTATAATCTGGGTTCCTGTTTTACACTCAAACTCCCTCAGAAAATTACAAATACCCATCTTCTCTCTTGCCAAATATGCATTTATTTTAACCCAAATGAGCCACCTAACCTGAAAACAAAGTTCCACTTTTATCATCTGATTTTAAAATGACATGGGGAAGGGAGTACAAATCCAGAAGATGTAAAGGAATGTGTCAACACTTGACATTAGAAACAGGGAGAAAAAACACTGCTGGGCGTCCTTACTTTTGTTCTCATTTTAATTTACTTTGTGGTGTTTTTCTTTCTTTGGTTTTCAAAGGAGAAAAATGCTCACTTCCTGGCAGGGCGGGGGGTGTCCTGTCTCACCATTAAGGACAGGTTTTTCTATACTGCAGACACATAGGCTGTAGCTTCCTTCTTTTCTTAAGCACAGTGACTGATTTATTAGTTTCATATTCTCTGTTCAAGAGATTTTAGTTCTTCAAGACATAAATTCAAAATTACAGAAAGTCAGAACCTCTGCTTTGAGTTAACGAGTCCAACAGTTAATGTCCACAGTTGGGAAAAAACCCCAAACCGAACAGTACCATGTGACTTCCCTAAGATTACTCAGCCAATCAGTGACTGAGTCAGAAGTATAACAGGGCAGGTCTGCTGGCGAGGGGGTCCCTGCTGCCTAATTCACAGCACAGCCCCATATGAGGAAACGCAGACCCTGGAAAATTTTTTAAGGTCAAAGGTTAATTTCCTCACCTTTTAAAAATTACTATTTCAAAAGATTATAGTGCCCCTTGTAAAAATCTCTAAACACCCACGTAGCTCTTCAGGCACTTAAGTCAGCTGATTTTTTATCAGACACAGAAATCTCTGCCTTAGAGCTCCTTCTGAAAGGCCTTCAGTGTTTTGCCGAAGGGCAGAAGTCTAAATCAACTTCAAAAATACAAAATCTGAACATGAGGGCTTCTGTTGTTAACTCTACTCTCTTTCTATGGACTGCACTTTCATGGCAAAGAACAAACTAGGAATCCTCTGCCTCCATCCAAATGTCTCGGTTGGTAGATTTAAGTGCTCAAGTCGCAAGAGTCTGAGTCAGTTATGCCAGCTGAAGAGGGAAAACTCAGAGAACATCTCACAGATTAGAAGTCGACCAGGATTCCAAGCACCTGCGTAGCTCAGTTGCTTCAGCGACTGCCTTCAGCTCAGGTCATGATCCTGGAGTCCCAGGATTGAGTCCAACATAGGGGGGTGGGGGTGAAAGGGTCCCCTACTCAGCAGGGGGTCTGCTTCTCCCTCTGACCTTCCCCCTCTCATGCTCACTCTCTCTTATTCTTTCTCTCTCAAATAAATAAATAAAATCTTAAAAAAAAAAAAGTTGACCAAGATTTCATACTTTCCTTTTACAAAGGCAAAATGATCTACAGGAGGTCCCAAAAGTCAGCCAGAGAAAAGGGTCTCACTGACTCTAGATGTCGGAAGGCAAGTCTGACTAAAGAAGAGGACACCGTCCAAAGGTTGTTTGCTCACCACAGCACCCACAGACCTCAGTGCCTGAGCATCTTTGTACTTTTCTGTGGCTTCTCGTTCACTCATTCCCTTGTTCATTTTCTCACTCATTCAACGTTATGAGTAGTGACCCTCTGCTGGGCACCATGCCAGGGAGCAGAAATAAAATGGCGACAGAGGCTCAGGGGGATGACACAAAAGTGGGCTCTCCATGCGACTGCACACAGAGAAAAGTGTGAAACTGGAACTTCATGTGTTGGACCTGTGGCAGCAGGAGATAATTACCTTGGAAGCTTGCTTCCAAGAGCTTAAAGGAGACAATTTGCTGAACAGCAATTGTCGCAGCTGGAAGGCAACAAAGAAATATTGAGAAGAGGCACATACACAATCATAATACACAAATGCAGAACAAAATTGCAGACTGGAACTGTTACTTAATAGAGGTATTTCCTGGAAGCCCTTAATAGACCATCAGCATGGCTATCTGATGAAAAGATTTCTTTTATTTGTTTGCTTTACCTATAAACAGATCTAGGATTAAACAAAGAACAACAATACCAAAAGCCATAATAATTCAGATTCTAGACAATAGTAATTGGCAATAATTGCTAAATTAAAATTTATCTCTGAAGTAAAGAGTTTCCTAACCATGTGAATGGGGCCATTGAGAGAATTATTTAGTCCAACCGAGAACAGCAAATTGCTTCCTTGTAAACAGGGATTTTGTGTATGTGCTACAATTGTGCTAATTATAAAATCTTCTTATCTTCTTACTAAAAACAAAGTCTCTGTCGCTTAGCTTACTTTCTCTCTTTGCTTCTCTCAATAGAGTTGCTCAACCCTTGGGAAAAATAATGAAACAAGTTTATATAGACTTTTTTTTCCATAATTTTTTCCCTACATCGGCCATCCTTCCTTAGAGATTTTATTTAATGTTAAAAGTTATTTATATTTACCATATTAAACTCTAGGAATGTAGAAGTAGATACATCCTTCAGCATATTCTATGTAAATGCTACATTTAATAAAGAAGGAAAAGGGAATCACCCCACCAGGATGTACTTTTTGCTCTTTGATGATTGCCAAACCATAGATTAAAGTAGCAAAATGAAAAGTAAGAACAATTTCCCTTTTTTTCTATAATGTTCACATTATACTTTGTGATTGGTTCTATATTGTTTTATCAGCACATTCTATATGTGGTGATTAGTTCTATATAGTTTTCTTATCAACAGTGAGTCTTTTCACTGAGTCTGACTTTTATAAAATTATAGAATTTGATGACAAGAGTACTCATGGTCTCACCTATTATATGTGAATAAGAGACTAGAACTGAAGGGGAAGGCCTGGATGCCTGCATTAGAATAAAGAGATGAAGAGAGAAATGAATACACCTACCTTACTGTCCAAGAGCATTCCAAAACATAAGATGAAAAAACCCTTAAAAAAAAAAAAAAGAAAGAAATCACCTGTATGGTCTTTTCTCCACCAGAGAAGAAAACATGGCTGTGTAATTCTATTCTATCACCCAACATTATTTTCTTGCTGGTCTCTCTCCTAGTCTGTGGACTCCTCAAAGGCAAGGACACTGGCTGATTCCACCATGCCTGGTATAACACAAAGCACTCAAAAAAAAAAATGTTTTTCTTGAAGGTACAAACAAATAAATGAGTGAATAAGGTTTTAAATGTATATGGAACATTCTTTTCCCTTTTGTGTCATCCTAAACACCAAACAAATATATTCTATAGCTTAGTCTTCCTTTAGAGTGGGAATTAAATCAACATTGACGGAGTGCACATGAATCCGTGACAACCGCAGGCACTGAGGTCCAACCCTAAGCAGAGGGTTGTTCTATCTGCACCCTTGCTATCAAGTCCAGTCCTTGTGGAACCCTTGGCCGAGGCTTTCTGGGACTATGAGATCCTTCTCCCAGTCAGAGCACCCCCAGTGGGTGCCTGTTCCCACAGCATCTCTCTATGGAGCTGCTCTCAGCAGAAGCTCCCTACACCTGTCACCATTAGGCATATGCTCTCAAGGTTCGCCATTTGCACTTACCAATGAAACGTTCGCTGGTGTGCTAAAGTAGGTGGAGAACCAGTTGCTTTTAGAAGATGGATTAGCACTTCCTACATGCCAGGCACAGTGCTGAGAGCTAAATTATGTCATGTAATTTATTTTATGATATAGGTAATAATATTATCCCTCTCTAACAGACGAGAGAACTGAAAGAGAGATTAAATATTTCTTAGAGGTCACAATAGACAATGTGCCATATTTGAGCCCAGACCTATTTAACCCCACAGCTCAAACCTTTAACCACCCCTTCTTTGAGACATCATGCAGAGGTGACCAGCAAACATTCATTGAACCAAGATCAAAGGCTCTCTTCCAGACTCACAGAAACCAAAAGATTACTTTTTCTGCCTACTCTCTGAACACTCTTCGATTGTGAAATGTAAAACCCATGCTCTTCAGCAGGTAGGCAAACTTCTGCAAAGAGCCAGATAGGACGTGTTTTAGGCTTCGCAGGAGGTACAGTTGCAAGTGTTCAACTTTGCCAAGGTAAAGAAAGCAGCTGCAGACCATATCTACACAAATGGGCATGGCGGTGCTCCAGTAAAACTTTATTGACAAAAACAGCGCTGGTTACAGTTTGCCAGCTCCTGCTCTGTTGTGCTCTGGAGACATCCTGTGCACCATTCAGAGTCAACAAGTGCTTTTGAATCCTTTCCTTTTCCCTGTGTGCTTTTGCAGAGGTCTGCCCAGGAGAAAGAGGGCTGAGCTGGCAGCAAAAGGGGTTAACATTAGGTTTATAAACTCAAACATCTAAAATCCTGGGATGGATTCCTGAACGAGTCTAATACTCTGCTTCAGTAATACCTGCTGGAAAATACAGATTCTGTTATTTGTTTGTTTCTTTTGGATTCACTGCTGCCTGGCAGTGTTGCTCACAGACCTGCTGCAGGCAATGGGAGATGAGTTAGCATCCAGAGTGGTGTTACCAACCTCAGTTCTCTATAATTACCCCCAGTCACCTGATGATGTAAGAAGTTATTCTTAAAAAAAAAGAAGAAGAAGAAGAAGTTATTCTTATTGTTCTCACCTGGAATGCATTGAGTAATGCAAAAACAATATGCCAAGCCAGATTCCGGTTGTCTACTATTGTTCCTATGCCAAAGCCCCAGGTGAGCCCCAGCAGAGGGGTCAGGATGAGAAGGCTCTTCCCCATGCGGACAATAGTGGCCTTGTTTTCCTGACCGGGTCTTTCTCCAACAGTGGGCCTCCAGAGCTTCCTGAGAACCAGTAGCACCACCACCAAATTCACAGCCACAATAGTCAGTGCAGGAACAGCAAAGGCTAAGAGGGGTTTGCTCCTATCAGACCAGTTAAGCCAACACACGTCTTTCCTTGTGTAGCCATTGCTTGGCTGCGTGACAGCAATCGTGATGGCACATATGATGAGAGGGCACCCGTAGCCCAGGCAGAAGCCGATGGCTATCATTGAAGGCATGGCCATGTGATGGAACACGAGGAGGATCCGATAGGCCAGCAGGATGCCAAGTGTGAGCATCCAAAAGAACAAGGAGAGATAGAAAAAGTGCACGAAGAACACAGCAGCTATACAGACTCCGGAAAGGTTTACGGGGGAGTCTCCAGTGGCAGCGACAAGGAACCAAACATCAGCAATCAGGAGGCACAGGGCTATGTTCACCATGCAAACATGACGTGTGTAGGAGGTCTGGTTTTTCTTGACCTGCTTCCAAAACAGAGCTTCAATGATCAGGCATAAGGTGAGACTTCCGATGGAGATGCCCAGTCCCACAAAGGTGATCCATTTCACCACGGGGATGATGGCAGGGGGGACAAAGGGAGACATCAGTACCGAGAAGGAGGTCAGGTGAGTACATCGGCACATCACCGTGTCTGGAGTTTCGTTCACCAGGTGGCAGCCCGCATTGTTCCATTGCAAAAGACTGAAATCCCAAAACACACAATGAGGTTGGCTCAGATTCGACTCTATCTTGGAAAAAATCAGGAAAACCTCATTTATAGAATAGTTTTGAATAATCGTGGATATCACGGGGCCATTGACCTGAGCATTTCCATTTTTGGTAGCAGATAGGATAGTCCCCAGGGTCAACGAGGCCATGCTGATGATGGTTTCTGGAAGGGACCGCTGGAATTGGTCTGACTCAATTAACACATGGCCTCTTATGGGAATGGAGGCATTTGGAGGGAACATTTCAGTCTGATAGTTGTAATCCATCTTGAGTTGGCTTTGGGACACTGGACTCCCTTTCCAGTTAATGAATTCCCGAGAAAAATTCAGAGGCAGAGCTGTTGGAGGTACAAGGCTACTGATGTTTTCCAGTGTCTTCAGTAACTGCGAGCTGGCATGCTGTTCTTCCTGTAGTAACACCGTCCAGTTGGTTACTGATGATGAATTCAGGATGTGGTCAGCTATACTGATGACATCCTGAAATACAAGGATGAAAGTCAGTTTGTGTTTTGAATAAGCAGCTCAGAGGACTAGGAGGGGATAGTCATTAGTATTAAGGATAGCACAATTGCCCAAAGAGTTGGCCCAGTTGAAGACCACAGCAAATGTACCAGTGAAAATCAGTTTATTCACTGCGCAGTGAAAGTTTTGGGTTAAGAAACTTGGGTCAGCAGAATCATATAAGTTCCAGAGTGATCTCCCCAGGACATTTGTATGCACACTGGGGTTCCAGCAAGGCTGAGAAAGAATCCTGTGGTGTGTGCTGTATCAGGCCCACTTCCTTCCACAGCGATGACAAACATGGCTGCCTTACTGCTCAGGCTGAGGCTCAGAGAGTGAGACATTAAATTGAACTCCTTTCCAACATTATGTTTGTTTTGCTAACATCAGAAGTTCTAAATTCATGTCATGGACATCCAAGTTGTAATTCATGTGAATTTATGAATTAATAGGAGAAAATATAAAGCAAAAGAGAATATAAAGCAAAAATTCTCAAACACTGGATGAGTGACTGAGAAGCATCAAACTATTGTGGGTTTTAAGGGTCAGTCTCAGCTGAAGAGATTCCTTTTCCAAACAAGTCCTTGAAAGCTGCCACTTTCCCCAGCAGGACCCTGTCTTTGGCTTATGGCTCTTGTTCCCAGGCATTCTTCCTCAGAGTCATCATCACTCTGACAGTCTTACCCTAAATGAGCCCTCTGTGGCTTCTGGCCCCAAGTCCCATAGCATGCTTCTTTTACTGCCCTCTAACCTCTGTCTTCTTTTAGTTTCTGTTTGCCTGCTCTGTTTGTGCCCTTCATTTTATTTTTAGATTTTTGTGTCATTTTGTTTTAGTTGGTCTCTTGTAAACAACACAAAGTCAGGCTTAAAAAAAAACTTGATCATCTTCTCTTTGGTTCACAGAGTTTTAACTTATTTATATTTAATGTCATCTCTGACATAATGTCACCTTGTATAGCTAAAGTATAACCGTGTGATATGTAGCCATACAATTCTATAATATAATTTTTCAAAAATATAATATACTTTAACATATAAAATGCACACATCCAAAATGTTTGGAAGGACATTCATTTAACAATATTTATTGAGTACCTGGTATGTACTACTTTTCATTTTCTAGGCACTGGAGGTGATACCTAAAATGCAAGCAGTGGCTATTCTAGGGTGACCAGATTACATATCCTTTTTCTTTTTTTTTTGGTCTATTTGCATTTCTTAGTAAGCAAGTTTTATTTGCATAAAATTTAAGCTAATTTTTAAATACCAGACTAAATCATGAATACCCCAGTCAAAAAGAGGATGTTCTTAAAATACACACTACTGAAGTCAGAGCTCTTAGCCACAAGAAAGACAACTGCAAAGACATTAAACAGTGGACACGTGTCATACGTTGTCATATGGTGTCATACAGTGTCACACAGTGCATATAGTGCAGTTTCTCACCTCTTCCTCTAAGCCTGCCTAGAGGTAGCCCTCTCTTGCTTTGAGCTCACATAACTGATCCCAAGAGTTTTTGGTACACTGTGGAGGACACAAGAAGTCTCATACAACAACTGACCCATGACCCCTTGCCTCTTTTCCATTAGTGAGATTTCAGCTCGGGTTTTTGTCATTCCTCCTGAAAGACTGAGCCTCTAAAGCAAGTCCTATAAACACAGGCAGACAGACCATACCTCCATTGTTGAACTAGACACTTTGAAATGGCTCGCCAGTGACAAAGACAAGACGTTGTCCAGAATTGACACCACTGAAGCCAGATTGCCGGCTGTGGTTGACGGGTTTTGCCGAATCACAACAGAAAGATTTCGCACCAAGGATGACACGGCTGTCTCGGTAGCATTGCCTGCGATCACACTGAAATTCTAGGAATAAAAATGGTTAAGTTCTAGAGAACAATGGAATGTTTGTGTTTCATATAAATTATTATCCTAATTATACAGAAATATATATTCAGTGAGATTCAATGACTTTCCAAACAGTACCCAGCTAGGAAGTGGAAAGTTAGTGTCTTCTGGTACTAAATTCTGTTTTATCAACTATGCTATGCTGAGAAATCCTTGTAGGATGAGAAGATAGAGGGACATGCATGGAAACCTGACTACACTTTGTCATTGGCTTGGAGTTTTGCTTCTTCTCTGAGGCTCCTCTCTGTTTCCACTATACTGAGTTATCTTGGAAGGCAGCCAAAAAAGGGACAGTCTTTTCCATTCAAAACAAGTCAACCCAGGAACCAGATCCCATCTGGTTTTTTGTTTTGGGGGGGTTTTGTTTGTTTGTTTGTTTGTTTGTTTTTGAGAGAGAGAGTGTGAGCATGAGTGGGACAGGGAGGGGCAGAGAGAGAGGGAGAGAGAGGGTCTAAAGCAAGCTCCAGGCTCAGTGCAGAGCCTGACAGGAGCTCAGACTCACGCCCCTGAGATCATGACCTGAACCAAAATCAAGAGTTGAACACTTAACCAACTGAGCCAAACAGGCAACCCTCATCTGTATTTCTTTTTGCTCTTCTCAGCTGACAGTAGTGTTCTCTGCTTTGAGCTGGGACTTGCCTGCCTTCACACCCTGGGTCGGACCAGTCCCAGCTATTGTCCATGTCCAGAACTGCGGCAAAGAAAGCAAGAACAAGGATAGACTCCAGAAGCCATCTGGTCCAATCTCCCCACCCAGTTTACAGAGGAAAAACCTCAGAATGAAGCAGTAAACATTCTATAGTCTCTTGGGAAATACCATTCTGAGTTTCATTGCAATAGTGGGGTCCCTGGCTGGGAGAGGAGTTCTGCTCAATATGGACATCTATTTGCAAAACAGTCTCAGAGTCCCTCTTTTCCATGACTTGAGTTCAAATTCCTTGCCATTTCCTTCCTTCCTTATATCTGCCTTGCCTTAAGAACTTGAACCTTCCTAAGAAAAACGTCACGTGGAAGTCATAGTTCTGGACTGGAAATCAAGTGACCATGTTTCTAGTTCAACACTATTGCTACCAGAGGGACCATCAGCCTCTTAGTCTTTCATATCCTGATCTTTAAAAACAGGTTGATAAGCCAGATGACCCTTAAAATCCATTGTAGTTCTGTCATTGTATTTGGTGCACCTCTGTCTGAGCCACTCCCGGCCCAGATTTCTGACATATGTACATCCTCACTCGTACTGAGCTGACTCACACCTCTACTTGGATCTTTGTTTTCCAGGCTTTCTGGACTTCTAAGACCACCTTAATTGCTGTCTTACCATCTATCATAGACGTCTTTGGCACTGATTCATTCCTCTATAGCTCCCTCCCCAATGGAACCATCAAATCTGACTTTTTCTGTCTCTCTTGGCTTCTACCTAGACCCTGCTACTCATGCCAACAGTGCCTATGTTTACCAGGTCTGATAATAGCCTTGACTTCTGTGCACTGACCAATGAGACAAATTGATATATTATTCTCCACCTAGCCACGCTCACTGGGAGATGCCCACGGTGAAACTCAGAACACAAGACACAGATGCTTTACCTTCTTCAGTTCCTCCAGCTGAGAATGCACACACGTCTCCCTAAGGATCCGCCACCCAGAAGGCTGGCACCTCGCTGTAATGTTCCCAGTGTAGCCGCTGCTACAGGGAAAAATATATTCGTCATTCATGTACCCAAATCCAAAGACAATGCTGTTACACTGGGCTGGGAGGAAAAATGGAAACAAAAAGGAAAAATGTGTCAATATCCTGGCACTTTGTACAAAGCATATGGCAGTGCTGTAGGATTCATGTTTCCAGAGACAAAAACCCATGCAAAATTCAGGAGTAGAAATTGGTCCTTGATGCTCAGCTTCATCCCTCTCAGCACCCTTTCTCCTTTCTGATGCCCTCCCCAAGGCTGGCCCCTTGCCCTCCAGTTGTCTGAACTGTGTCAACAGTCTTGCTTTTAGTGAGCCATAAACTAATAAGCACCAGGTGAAAAAAAGCCAGGGTATGATCACTCTTGGGAAAGAGTTTCATTCTGTAAGGAAATGTCAGAAAGTCAGAAAATCTGCAAGAAGCTATGGAACATAGCAGTAATGATACGGTTACAAATTGGACAGTTGCCATTTTAGAGTGACATACCCAACTTTTTGCCCTTTGTTAAAGCTTTTCACGTTGTGACCAGCCACTAGTTATGCTCGCAGCTGGCCCTCAGTAGTATATTCTGACCGTGATCGGGACCAGGAGAAGGAAACCATGCAGGAAAGATCCTCCAGGATTCTGAGGTTTGCTTATTCTTCCCAGTACTGTGTCCTAAGTGCCTAGACAGTTTGTAAATACTGTTGAATAAATGTTATTGAAAGTGGCTCATATCCAGGTGCAAGAGGCTTAAGATTGAATGTAAAAAAGAAAAAGGGAAAAATCTGAAGAAAAGTAGCAGAGTGTCATGTGTCTGTGTGTGTCTGTGGAGTGTGTGTGTGTGTGTGTGTGTGTGTGTGTGTGTGTGTGTTAAAGATCTAGACAAATGCATTCTTTCTTTGGTTCCCTGGATTATGATTTAGGAATATGTCAGCCCCAGGGCTCTCGGAGCATGTGTCGCAGTAGACTATCGCTGAGTGATTTCCATCAGGACCTGCAGAGAGCTCAGTGCTCCACAGCGTTACCCCGGGAGCTGGAGACCACATCGCTGGTCAGCAAGGATCTGAAATCGGAGACTGAAATGGAGTTTCATCATGGTGGGGGGAGAAAATCACTGCCTGTGTCTCCCAAAAGTCAGTCTTAGAACAATCCTGTATCACAAAGATTTCCAGTCTACTTCCTGAAGACATAAATGAGCTACTAAGTAGAGGACTCCCGTAACCTAAGCGGGGGATGGGAATTCAGAATTACCTTTTCCACATACTCTGAAAGAGCCATCTTCAAGCAGGAACAGCTTGTGAAGTCCTACCTTCACCTTCTCGGCCACCTGTTCAATGGCTGACAGCAGCTCAGATGTGCTGCTGGAACCCACAACTTCAAACCCGGCAATGATGCCTCCATCATTGGAATGACTGTGCGAAAAGAAAAATGAGATTCATTCAGTCAGTCACTCGGGGTCTGCCGTGTGTATGCATGTCACTGGGGCCATAGGAAGACATCAAACTGGTATTGTCCTTGCCTTCATAGAGCTTACATTCTAGCAGAGAAGACGAGGCAAATAAGAAACCAGTAACTATCATATGTAAGTAATTATATAATTGCATATAAAAATATATATATGTTTAGTTAAGTATTACAAGAGGCAGATGTGGTGATAAGAATAGAATAGCAGGTGGAGATGGGGCCCACTTTTTTTTTAAGATTATTTATTTATTTGAGAGAGAGAGAAAGAGAGAGCATGCACATGCATGAGTGGGAGGGGGGCAGTGGGAGAGAATCTCTGGCAGACTCCCAGATGAGTGCGAAAACTGAGGCAGGGCTCCATCTCAAGATGCATGAGCTCATGTCCTGAGCCAATAGCAAGAGTCTGCTGCATAACCAACTGAGAAACCCAGGTGTCCCAATGAGGCCCGCTTTAAATAAAGCTGGTCACGGGGCGCCTGGGTGGCTCAGTGGGTTAAAGCCTCTGCCTTCGGTTCAGGTCATGATCCCAGGGTCCTGGGATCGAGCCCCACATCGGGCTCTCTGCTCAGCAGGGAGCCTGCTTCCCTTCCTCTCTCTGCCTGCCTCTCTGCCTGCCTGTGATCTCTGTCAAATAAATAAATAAAATCTTTAAAAAAAAAAATAAAGCTGGTCAGAAGGTGAAAGCTGAGGCCTAAACAATGCGGAGAAAAGGCTACAGTTACAAAGAACATCAATGTAGTGTGCCAGCATGTGTGAAGGTCCTGAGGCAGGAAAATGCCTATGAGTTAAACAAATTTGAAGACTAGCTGCCAGGTCAAGAACCAGAGTTTCTCAATGCAGAAAGTTTCAGTGTGGGTTTGAATTTCTCTAGGGAGAATAAACTGAATTAAATAAAATCAGTTTTAGTTAGAAGACAAAAATTGATTAACTCATTTTAGCATAACTAAGTTTCAGTGAGCAGGAGAGAAATGGTAGGATATGATATTAGGTAAGTGGCCCGGACGTGGATCAGGTAAGGCCTTAGAGTTTGAATTTTATTTTTATTAAAAGGTTTCTTTCTTTAGTAAAAGTCAGAGGCATGCTCATGTTTACTGCTTAAGAGTGTCACTCTGGCTGCTGCATAGAATGGGCTGAAGAGGGCAAGCAGGGAAATAGGAGGACCCATCAGGAAAGAGGTGATGGTGGCCTGAAGTTGGGGGCAGTACCCATGAGGAGAAGTGGTCAAGTTGTACTTGAAGACTGAGCCACAGGAATTGTGAAGGATGCTGGGAATGGAGAAAATAACCAGTCAAGAAAAGACTGTAAGGGATAGAAAAACAAACTGCAGTGTATTCATACAAAGGAATAGCACCAGGCAGTAAAAAAGAAGGAACACCTGTCCCCCTCCCCAGGGGCACCTGGGTGGTTCAGGTGGTTGAGTGTTGACTCTTGGTTTCAGCTCAGGTCGTGATCTCAGGATTATGAGACTGAGTCCCAGGATGGGCTCCCCATTCACTGTGCAGTCTGCTTAAGACTCTCTCTCCCTCTCCCTGCACCCTTCTCTCCCTGCCCCCTGCTCTCTCTCCCTCCCCTCTCTCTCTCTCCTTCTCCATCTCTAAAATAAATAAATCTTAAAAAACAGCCATAGCAAAAGGAAAGAACCCCTGACACTCAGAAAAACAAGGATGACTCTCTCAGAGACGTGCTGAGGGAAAGAAGCCAGACATACACAAAAACTACACACTGGGCAATTCCATTTATATGAAGTTCTAGATAGACAAAACTAACCTATGATGATACAAATAAAAGCAGTGATGTTTTCTGGTGGGAGGTAGGGGTGGGCATAGAATTGGCTGGAGAGGAGCACAAGGAAACTTTTGGGGTGATGAAAATGTTCTGTATCCTTAAAAGGTGGCTAGTAAAAGCATTTGTCACAGCTTATGAAACTGTATGCCATAAGGCCTGAGCTATCGCTGTATGTCAATTATACCTCAATAAAAAATGATTACAGAGGATGACTCCAGGTTTGAGTATGTGCAACTGGAAGACTGGGTGTCGCTGTAACTGGGATGGATGAAGCAGCGGGAGAAGTAGCTTGATGCTTTTGAGGGGGGAAATAAAGGTTTTGAGGAGAAAAGTGGGATGACATCTGTTTTGGACACATTATGTTTGACATGCCTACCAGAAAATCTGGTGGAGATGTTAATAGGCAGTTGGATATTTGGGTCAGAGAAGCAAATTGAGACACTAAGAGGTTAAGATTTACTTTAAATCATAAATATAAAGAATAAAACCTAAATAATTGCATTTCATAGATTTATGCCTCCTTTATAATTTTATTTACAAATATTGGAGCCAGCTCGTAAGATATAGGAAATGAAATATGTGTTAGAAATATAAGTAGAAAGCCAGGGCCAATGTAAAGAAAAATATGAATATTGAATGAAAAATTACTGTGAGTTTCAAGTTTGTCTATGCATTCAGTGACTGCAAGGTCAGAAAGGAAAATATAATTCATTGAATAGAACTTGGTATAAGAAAAAAGCAGCAGTGTCTTTCCTAGCATTGAAATGTAAAGAAAATTATACACATGGGCCTTTATATAAGAACATGAGATAACCAGAAGGATAATATCCAGGACAGTATATTTATAGCAATGCTGCTGAAAAGTTCCTATAGCTGTTCCGTAAGTTAACCATGAAAAAATACATATACACAAGAAGTCAAGTTCTCTGACCTCTAAGCCACTTCCTCTATCAAGCAGACTATTCATAGTACTCAATGCACACATGGCTAACTAACCAAATAACTTTTGGAATGAAAGCATAAACAAAAGGATAATTTACTAAATATCTCTTTATTTGCTGTAGACAATGCCTACTGGGTTTTGAGCTATGGTGCATACATGGTATGTATACAAAAATATGATAGTTTACCCCAGGCTTCCCTCATGGATCCCAATTATACACTTTGTATCTTTGTATCATACCCCTCTGTGCTTGTGGACAGATCAGAACCACCCCTCTGCAGCCACAGCCCTCACCTCCAGCCCTCATCCATTCCCATATACGCATACCATGATCTGCTTCATCCCAAGTTCTGCAACGATGGGGTTGCAGTTCCAATCTCTGATCTATACCTTGGAGAATGCCATTCAGTATTTAATTTTCCTCTTCTGACTTTAAGAAGCATCACAGACTTTGTCCAATTTTAGTAAGAATCCTACTAGAAAGACCTGTTCTTCCCTGTTTTTTTGTTTGTCAAGGTCATTTGGGAATAGCACTGGCATTCTGTAGGATGGCTGCACAATTCTGGAGATGCCCTTCTCTTTTTTTAAGATTTGTTTATTTGAAAGAGAGAGAGAGAGAGACTGCACAAGGAGAAGGGCAGAAAGAGAGGGAGAGAGAATCTCAAGCAGACTCCCTGCTGAGCTCGGAGCCCAACACAGGGCTCCATTTCAGGACCCTGAGATCATGACCTGAGCTGAAATCAAGAAGCAGGTGTTCAACTGACTAAGCCACTCAGGCACCCCTCTGGGGATGTCCTTCTAAGGCCATTGTGTTACTTACCGAAATTGGGTGACACGAACTGACTCAAACTCTTGAATTCTTTTGAATATTTCTTTAAGCTTATAAAGAGAAAAAGGGGCAATATGTTGATTTTTGTCCCCATACAAGGAAGATATTTTAGCAAAAAAATTGATGCAGATAATAAATAAACCAACAGAACCACTGAAGAAAGGAAAAGAGATACCACAGGAGGTGAAGGCATATTATACAAATACAGTTCAAATGACAATTGACAATTGTATACGTACACACACATGTCATTTATTTTTGAGTTGACTAATAAAGATGGAAGAACCAATTGCTTAGAATTGAAGAACCAATTGTTTAGAATAAGGGATTGGGTGCCAGATAATATAAATTCTTCCAAAATCTCTTTTCTCCTTCAAAAACATAAGCCCTACATTTCCATATGAATTTAAACTGAATATCTGGAAAGTATTTGTGATCGTCAGTGAAAATGACACCTGAATCAGCATTATTGACAGACACTAATTTAGTTTTTCTTTGACTTCATTACATAGTCCAGAATTTTTCTCAGTAACTCTGTTTAGCCCCTAACAAGCAAGGCTGCTTTATGGAACAAATCCAAAATGCTGACAATTGAGCCTAGAGCATGAAAAATTTCCTTTTGACAAATAAAAAACAGGAAATAACCAAGAAGTCTTGCTAGAATATGACTCACATAAATGAGCAAAAGTGAACACAAGAGAAATAGAAATAACTCAATGGCTAAAACTCTCCCAGAAAGAAAATGTTCAACATACGTAAGTTGTGGGCAATGTGATTAACTGCTCTGTAATAACTCATTGAACGTGAATAATTAAGAATATGTATTAAATAAACATTCTGAATTGAAAACATCTGAACTTATGTTTAGCCAACAATTTCCTATGTGGAAAGTAGAAAGTGCTTACTTGAATTTCAATTCCAGTGGCATATTTGGAGTATGAAGGAGAAGATGAATTCAAAAGGTCTTTGGCAAATCTTTCATTAATTTTGAAAGTGCCCCAAACCTCTATGGGAAATAAAAAAGGTTTACAGATATAAAAATTAGTCACTTGAATTTATTACAGCATAAAATTACAGCAGTACATTTGAAGCCCATCTATTCAACAGCAGTATTTCAATTTCTTCTTGTAATGAATGTTCACCTAAAATAGTATAGGAAGTATACACAAAACTAGACTTTTAAATTGTGGATTTGGAATATAATGAGAAGGTGCTGGTGATCAAGGCAACCTTTTAAGTAGGTAAATGTGTGGTCAACCACATGTGGTTAAGAAAGGCAGTTACTTAACACTGAAATGTGCGCCCATCTAGGCATTGAACTCACACACTGTCCCTATGAAAAATTTGAAAATAAAAGAAAAAAACAATAAATACTACTTGCTAACTCCAATATACCCCTTGCTTTCCCATTGCTGGTGTTTTTCTGTGATGGGACTGGTTGTAGCTCATTTTCATGTGGACAAACCCTGTTTATCCTGCATTCAGGATCTAGGCAAACGGATCTCCTCTGCAAGACTTCTCCTGCTCCCCAAATGCAAAGATTCTTTCCCACCTCTAAATTCCTACAGTACTCTTTTCATATCCTCTTTACAACCCCTTGTACCAACATATCTGTTTATGAGCATTTCTCATGTTTATAAGAACCCACTCCACTTTGGGGAGACACTTGTGAGTGTAATCCCTGTCTGATCCATCTTTTTATCTCTTCAAGGTGCATCAGACACAGACCTCCTTTCAAAAGGTAGGCTTTCATTCAAATTTATTGAAGAAATTGCACTGTCTTCTTTCTTATATTATAGCCTATCCTCCCCAGATGGGCTGCTAATTCAGAGAGAGAGAGAGAGAGAGAAATGCTTCATTGTGTCCTCCCATAATTTGCCTCAGATCTGGGTGTAAAGATGGTGTCTAATAAATATGTGTGGCCTTCATGAATTGGCATGGTCCTGGGAAGGGGAACCAGGAATGCCCAGGAAAGCTGAGTTATTTCACATTCTCCCTCTCTTTGCACAGCTCTACCAAATTTCAGAGTTTCAAGAGAACTGATGTAGTCTTTGAGGAAACTTCCTGAAGTCCTTCAAGCCCTGGAGCCCATGTCATTTGGCTCACTTCTTCATCCACTGAACATAAACCAAAGGAGACTTAGCTCTCTCAGCTTCCACTGGTTTCCTAAGCTAGACCTTTACCTTCTGTTTTGTTTTGGTAATGCATTCAGTACACATACTTGTTGTCCATATAGAACATATATTTCAGTATAATAATTATGTGCTCCTTTCTGCTCTCACACCTCTAGACTTCCCTTTTCTATAAATCGATGTTGGCAAAAGCAATGGAAAGAAGGCAGGGAAAAAATTGTATTTATTCAAGCAGTTCCCCTACTTGAGATTTCTGTGAATCCCCCTCCATCTCAATAAAATCATAGAATTGCAGAGCTGAGCTGGATGAAGTTTGAATTGATGCCCAAATGTCAATTCGCATTTCTGAATTTTCTATACTTATGAACTTCTTGCTGTGTCCAGCTAAGCCTAGTGGGGTATATTGTTATTGCTCTTTGATGACCCTGCAAACACTAGCTCTGCTCAGAGAGACAAAGAGTTAACACATGGGTGAGAAGCTAGAGTTCCCTCCCTGTGGCACGTTGGGCTCAAGAACCCCCCCTCCTTCCCCCACACCAGACCTCTCTTCCTGGCACCCCTCCATCCTTACTTGTTCTTTCACAGAAATTGATGCTGTGGGTGAGGTTGTTGAGGTGACAGTGACAGCTCTGGAGCCCTCCAGCTGTGTGAAGGTAGCATTTCTGGGGATCAAGGCATGAGGGAGGAAACCAGGTGTAGCCATCCTCACAGGCACACTGCAAAACCCCATTCTGGTTGCCACAATCTGTACCAAAAAAACGGAGCTTGGTCTCACAGGATCTTGTTTATAAATTGACCCATGCTGAGTTCTCATCCTTGGCTTTGACTTAGAATCTGAACCAAGTGTATCTCACCAAGAGCTAGAAGGATAAAACTAGGATGACAGTATGTTTAAGGTAAGGATATGTCCAACCCAATAGATTCTGAGCCTGATACCAGACACCTAGCAAACATAAAATTAAGTGGCTGGGTCTAGCGTCCAAAAGAAGGATGGATGACCAGTAGATAGTCCTTGGAATGGGAAAGAGAAGCAGAAGAGGGTGTGCTAACCTAAAAGTTATTTAAGAGAGATCTAGAAAGTATTTTTCCACTATTTTATTGGAGGCTCCTCCTACCCACCTACCACCATTCTCAGGTAGATCCCATAAGCAAGATGGCAAAATTGAGGAGATGATGAAAAATTCCATCAGTCAAATCTGTATGCTCATTCCCTACTGAATGACCTAAAACACCCATCAAAAGGCTTTCCTTTATAATAGACAAAAAAATTGGGACAAAGCCATCAGACATCTTTGCAAAAATATGCATTATGATATATAGTGAATGATTCTCAAGCTTTGTCATATGTCGGAATCACCTGGAGGGTCTCATCCCAAAGTTTCTAATTCAGTAAGTCTGAGATGGGGCTAAGGATTTGCATTTCCATTAAGATCCCTGATACTGCTGCTGTTAATCAGGGCACCACACATTGAGAACTACTGCTTTAGACAAATCTTTTAACATCTCTGAAACCGAGCATTCTGATTATTAGTGCTATTTGTCAATTACTTCTTGCTCTTTTCTGGGCACATAGTAGTATTACATATCCTGGCCCTCTGATGTTGAATGGGGCCATGAAACCAACATGGGTCAATAAGTTGTGAGCAGAATTAACGTGCGTCACTTCTGAATTAGAGAATTCAACTGCTAGTGTGAAACCCTTGAGTGTTCTATTCCTTCTTGGCTCCAACTGGGTATATTTGAGATAGCGTGTGATTCATTAGCCTGGATTCCCAAGTCACCACACCAACACAACCCCACTGCCAAAGTTTAATAGAGATATAGCGTGAAGAAGAAATAAAACAGGTGTTCTTTCAAGTCACAGATATTCTAGGGATGACTGTCTCCATAGCATAACCTAACCTGACTGCTACCCACCTTCCCCCTTCCACTCCCAGTCCCCAGAGGGCAGATTTACATGTAGTGGCCTTTGCTCTAATAATCTTCACTGGTTTCTGTAACCATAATGATGGAGGTTTCAGAAGCTTCAGAAAATTCTTCACGTCTCTCTTCTCCTTGGAATCTCTATAGGCCACCTGAAGCAGCAGCTCATACTCCTGGACTGGGCCTAAAGAGAGGAAGATAGTCAGAAGCCTCCTTTTTCAGTCTGGAAGAGAAATATTGCCAAGGAAGCCACCAGGAAGTGTTCATCACATGTCATCTGGGGGTCATGGGCTTTGCCATGGTGCTTGTTACTGACTTCTGCTCCTCCAATCATTAAGTAAGAATGAGCATCTGGAGGAACACTTGCAGATACCCCATATGTGTCTGATCTATGTTTATTCTCCCAATTTGCCAGGCCAGGGGCTCCCACTCTCCCTGACCCATCCTGGCATCAATCACCCTCCTGACATTACACGGCTCCTCAGGATGTATCCAAGGTCAAGATTCAGGCATCAAGACCCAAGGGAGAAGAGGTGAGAAAATCCTAGTCACTGTTGCCTCTTGCTCTCCCAGCTCTAGCCTCCTTGAAGGATGTTAAAAAACAAAAACAAAAACAAAAACAAAACCCTCCAGTCTCACAATTTCCTCTCCAAAGAGCCACTTTTTTCTACTGTAAAGAGGTTTCAGTAATTAGCCAACTTTGAGTACCTTTCATGAAATGCAAAAGCAAAACCAAACCAAACCTTACTTGAGACTTTATGCACCCTCATCTCAGTCTTATCACTCCTGAACAGCACCTTTTGTTTCCCTAAGGAGAGGCTGTTATGTGTTCTAGGCTCAGGAGACTATGAATTCTAGTAGTATTCTCCCTCCCAGAACTCATTTAGGCACATTTGCATGAAACACAATGTGAGATTTCATGGCATTTCCAGATCATCCCAAACATATCTATGCACTCCAGATTAGGAATGTAAGGACTTCAGAGAAAAAGAGGGAAAAGGTGAACATCCTTTTATTCTGGGTCTCCTTTGACTGCCACTGGTGAAATCTCTTAGAAGTCTCAGACTTCTCAAGACATCCAAGCTTTCTGCAGGGACAAATGAGATGAGGAGCTTCTCTGAGACCATCCCTTTTCTTAGGGACCCAGGGAGCCAGGCAGAAGGGAAATTTATAGAGAAGGAAATCAGTGGATCAGTCTCTAGACTTTTTAGAAGGCAGTCAAGAGGGCCGCAGGAAGTTGGTTAAGCCTGACATGTCTCATAACATGGACAAGAGCTTCCTGTCTGCCACAACTTCCACCATCTCACTTCATGGAGTCTCAGTCCCTCTCTTACTCTCCCCTCTCCTTGCAGGCTGGAACCTGTCCTAGGTCTTGGGAGCCACACCAAGTAGAGAAAGCTAATGGGACTCCTGCTCCCACTGCCTAAGCAGGTAAGAAGTGGGGGAATGGTAGGTGTCAGAGGCACATGGCCCTGGTCCTGGAGCCATACTGACTAGAATTGAATCATTCCTCCAATTCCCTAGCTCTGTGTCTTAATTTCACCATCTGTAAAATAAAAATGACCATTGTGCCTAAATCAGAGGGTCATTGTAAGGACTTAATCCATCTAATGCACTTAAAATAGTGCCTGGCACCTAGGAAGAGCTCACTAAATGCCAACTATATTTTTACTGTCAGGGAAAATGTTTTTATGGCATTCCAATTTGAATTTTTATTTCATTTTCTGGAGAACTGCAGCCTTGTGTGGTGGTAAGTTCAATGACACTATTTGCACACTATTGTAGATCCCTGCCCTGGAGAAAGGCTTTTGTGGACTGACCCAGGAATCTAACAACCATCTGTCTGCATCATTCTTTCCATGAAGAAATACATTCAGTGCTTGAAACATCAGAACAACAAATTAAATTAGGAACACAACCTACTAGTACACTGAGTGTTGTACCCACTAATCACATGGTTAGGATTGAGATAAGGAAGGAAAAGAAGGGTACAGAATAGCTACTTGCCAGGTATGGAGCAGGATACCATGCCTTTATGTATTATTTAATCTTCACAAATATTTTGCTAGTAGGGATTGCTGTTAGTCTCATTTCCCAGATTTGAGGTGTTTCATAGTGTGTCAAAGATCATACGACCAGGGGATCTGGGTGGCTCAGTGGGTTAAGCCTCTGCTTTTGACTCAGGTTGTGATCTCAGGGTCATGGGATCGAGCCCCACATCAGGCTCTCTGCTCAGCAGGGAGCCTGCTTCCCCTTCTCTCTCTGTCTGCCTCTCTGCCTACTTGTGATCTCTCTCTCCCTCTGTCAAATAATTAAATAAAATTAAAAAAAAAATCATACAACCAGTCAGAAACACCACTAAGGTTGAAACCCTGGTCCCTTGGCATCAGGGTCTACTGTACCACACTCTCTAAGGGAGGCTCACCTGGATGCTTTTTCTTATTAACAATGAGTCCTCTTCTTGTGTTGATGCCTTCATTTCTCTGTTTAAAAGAAAAGAGAAATTATGGTAGGGCTTCCTAAGGCCTTGTTGGATCTCCTTGATGAATTGAAATTATGGATCTAAAATCCAAGGTAGGGATGATGGGGAGGTGGCTAGGAAAGGCCTCCCTGAGGCAACTTTTGAGCACAATGCTCAAGGAGGTGGGGAATTGAGGAGCCCTAGAAAAAGAACTTTCCTGGAAGAGGCAACAGCAATGGCCTTGGGGTAAGAATATTCCTGGCATGTGAAGACTGAGTGAGGAGGTCAGAGTAGCTCAGTGGAGTGGGTAAGAGGAGAAGGGTAGGAAGTGAGGTCAGAGAGTATCTCCAAGGAGGTAGGCTGTGTAGATCTTTATAGGGCAATGGTTTAGCTTTTATTTGAATGAGATAGGAACCCACCAGAAAGTTCTGAACACAGGTGAGAGTGTTCTACTTTACTTTTTGGAAGGCTCAATCCTGTGGCCATGTTAAGAATAGACAAGCACAGAAGCAATGAGAGCATCTCAGGAGTAATTGAAAAACACAGGTGAGAGATACTGAAAGTGTGGATCAAGGTGGTAGCCATAGAGGGAGTGAGAAATGTTTGAATTATGGGTGTATTTTAAAGATAAAGCAAAGCAAAACCAAACAAGAGCCAATGGTTTAGATATGGATTATGGAAAGAGTCAAACATGAAAATCGGTTTTTTTGCCCAACCATCCAGAAGGACAATGATACCACTTGCTGAGATGGGAAAGGAGAAGCAGGTTTGGTGGAGAAAAAAAAAAAAAATCAAGAATTTAATTTTGGACATCTTCAGTTAAGGGGCCTATTGGACACCCAATTAGAGATACCACAGAGATAGTAGATACATGGGTGTAGAGTTCCGGGGAGAAGGTTGAGATGCAGAGGTAAATTTGGGAGCCATCAGGGTATAGAGAACATTAAAACCATGATCCTAGATAAAAGTGTCAAGAAAGTGAGTGTAGTTAGGAAAGAGAGTCCAAGGATTGGCTGTGCCAATCTATGTCTTTCCTTGGTCAAATAAACAATAGGAAGAAATGTGCTGAGCTAGTGGAGCTCTCCAGATGGCTCAGTCTGAGTGCCTTATTTTGCAGTTAGGTCCTCTAAATTCTGAGAGATGAAACTGCTTATCCAAGGTTACACACAGCTAATGTGGATCACATTGAGACAAGAACCCAGGCTTCTGATGCCAAGTCTATTAAATTATGTAGTTCCAGTGGCCTAGAGAGTGATGGGTTTTCAAAGTACAGAGGGGGAGAAGAGAGGTGGTAGAGAGGGAAAACAGGGCATATGCCAACTCACCCCCAGGAAGCCATCTTGGCCTTCAATGAGGGTGAAGAAAGAGATGAACCAGAGCACATGGACTTCCATCTTCAGTTGGCCTCCCTCCTTCTCCTGGACTCAACATAAATAACTGGGGCCACAGTCTGTGGCTAGACAACAGATGTACCATGCAAGGCTGAGGCACAAAAACAAGTAATTCAAGCCAAAACTTAAAAATGTACAGTGGTAGGGCCTAGAGTGTATCAGAAGCTCTGAGTGGTTGATGATTTTTCTACTTCAAGTATGTAGCCTGAGAGACCATTACTTCCACTCCAGTAGCAGAAGTAGTAAATTTCCATCTTTACAAACTGCCTAGAAAATTGCTCAAGAGCTCTCTTCTCGAAGATCACATTTGACTAAACACAGGCTATTTTAAAATCATGACTTGCTTAACTTTGCAACCAAATGCATTTGACATCCAGCCTTTTTATATTTCAAGGTTTTCTTCTCATCTCAGGAAAAACAAGCATTAAAATAACCAAAGATCCTTAAAACCATGAATATAAGGATAGAATCAGAGTGCTTAAGCATAAAAATAATAATGAACAAATCCAGCAAATTTCTTTCTTTATAGTTGATGTAATTATCAACATATTATCCTTGTTTATGCTTCTATCAGAATAATTTGGACAAAATTCAACACATAGTTATGGTCACAAAATTAACTGCATATACCCAGGTTATTTGGTGTCAACAAAAAATAAAAATCATGGTAAGTTAGAACTATTCTGTCCAATATGCTAGCCTATAGTTACATATGGCAATCTAAATTTTAATTTTAATTACAACAAAATGAAATGAAATTTCTCAGTCACACTGTCCACATTTCAAGGGCTCAATAGCCACATGCAGCTAGTGGCTACCAATGTCAGGCAGTGTAGACAAATAACACTTCCACTATTTTTTAAGATTTTTTTTATTTTTAAATTTTTAAATATTTTATATTTTTATTATTTTTATTTTTTTAAGATTGATTGATTATTTAGAGACTATTTAGAGAGAGAGAAAGACATGCACAGGGGGATGGGCAAAGGGAGGGGCAGAGGGAGAGGAGAGAATCTCAAGCAGACTCCATACTGAGTGGAGACCTGGACACAGGGATTGATCCCACAACCCTGAGATCATGACTTGAGCTGAAATCAAGAGGTCAACTGATTGAACCACCCAGGTGCCCCAGAACACTTCCATTATTGCCAAAAGTTGTATTAGTCATGGAATAGTATTTAGCCTTAAAATAGAAGGAAATCCTGTCACATGATACAACATGGATAAACCTCAAGGGCATTAGATTTTAAAAAGAAACCAATCAGAAAAAGACAAATCCTGTATGATTCCACTTCTTTGAAGTATCTAAAGAAGTCAAGCTCATAGAAATAGAAAGTAGAATGGTTGTTGCCAAGGGCTTGGAGGAAGGGAAAACAGGGACTTGTTATTTAATGTTATCAGGTCAAAAAGTTCCAGAGATATCATGCCTAACATGAATATACTTCACACTACTGACACTGCACACTTAAAAATGGTTAAGATGGTACATTTGTGTTATGTGGCATTTTAATATCATTTTGAAAAGTTGTACTGGACAGCACTGACAGAAATGAAGGAGTGCATCCTAATGGCCTCTCCATGTTCTTTTACATCTCATGGGAAACAATGAAAACCTCTAATTCCCAAAATCACTAACCCACCACTAGATTAAGTGTCCTTGATTAGCAGCACAGAAAATGCAAAAGTGGACCCTCCATTCCAGCCTTTCCCTTGTTTCTCAGGTATACCTTAACCCTCATAAAACCCTGCCATGCCTGACAGCACTGCCCCACACTTTGCTCTCTGATCTACAAGAAAATAAAAAAGATGATAGAGACAGGATAAAGAGTACCATAGACATGGCATACATGTCAGCAGATACCCTTTCCAGGGCTTTCTAGGGAAGCATGAAAAGTAAGCAATGAAACACATACAACTTTTGTGTTTCCCATCTCCCCTTAGGTGAACACCGCTCTCTGTTCTGAGACAGAGGTTTGGGTACAGTAACTTCTAGATCACTAATTCATTCTTCTGCTTCATTTACCCTAGCTGTTAGAGTATCTAGATTAGATTGGATCTCACTGATAGCATTTTTAAGTTCTGCCAGATAAGTTCTTTTTTCTGCCCTTAGAGAATCTATTTTTCCATTAGTGGTTTTCTCCAACCTAGCCATTGTCTGCATAACTGTTACCCTGAAATCATTCTATTGAGGGATGATTCTGCAGGCAGATATCAGAAGATAAAGGGAAGGGGGGGGGATCCTCTGGGATCTTGCACCAAAGTGCAAAATCCTCTCATGCTGGGAACTGCTTGCAGACTTTAGGGCAACCCCCCAGACTGAAACCTAGAGCTGTGGGGGCACACATGTGAACTGGGGGTGGCTGGCAGTTTTAGAAGCACAAAGGGCAGAGACATGTCTGAACCTGGAAATGAAGGCTGGGAGTGTGGCTGTAGGGCACATAAGCCAGGATGCTGTGGTTTTTAGCAGTACAGACAAAAATGAAGTCAGTGTGGCCTACAGTGCTTACTGAAGAACAGGCTGCGATCTCTCAGTAACTTCTGCTCTGACTCTTGGAAGAGAGTCAGAAAGCCACCAAAGAAAGCCACCAGAGAACAAAAGCCCCCACAAACCAGTTTTCACTGAGCCCATCCCCTCACCCCAAAAGGGGGCAGGTCAACTCTGCCAAAATAGCATTGCCTGAGTAACAGCGTGGCAGGCCCCTCCCCAAGAAGACAAGCTAGAAGAACAAGAAGAACAACCCTAAGGTCCCTTTAAAACAGGTACATCTTGCTTGGTTTGTGGTCAATAACTTGGACTCTATATATTCCCTCAACCACCCCTCAACAGAATGGCTAAGAAGAGGAACCCTCAACACAGGAAAAATTCAGAGACTCTGACTTCTGTCACAGAACTAATGGATATGGATATAAGCAAGATGGTGGAAATAGACTTCAGGGTAACAGTTATGCAGATAATGGCTAGGTTGGAGAAAACCACTAATGGCAAAATAGATTCTCTAAGGGCAGAAATGAGAGCTTATCTGGCAGAACTTAAAAATGCTATCAATGAGGGGCACCTGGGTGGCTCAGTGGGTTAAAGCCTCTGTCTTCAGCTCAGGTCGTGATCCCAGGGTCCTGGGATCGAGCCTCACATTGGGCTCTCTGCTCAGCAGGGAGCCTGCTTCTCCCTCTCTCTCTGCCTGCCTCTCTGCCTACTTGTGATCTCTGTCAAGTAAATAAATGGAAAATCTTTTTAAAAAATGCTATCAATGAGATCCAATCTAGGTACTCTAAAAGCTAGGGTAAATGAAGCAGAAGAATGAATTAGTGATATAGAAGACAAACTAATAGAAAAGAAGGAACAAAACAAACAGAAAGGAAAGGAAAGGAACACGAGGAAGCCTGCAACAAACAGCTTAGAATTCATGAAAACAGAATTAGAGAAATAAATGACGCTATGAAATGTTCCAGTGTCAGAATTATTGGGATCCCTGAAGGGGTGGAAAGAGAAAAAGAGAGAGAGAGAGAGGACTAGAAGATATATTTGAGTAAATCTGAGCTGAAAACTTCCCTAATCTGGGGAATGAAACAAGAATTCGTATCCTAGAGGCAGAGAGAACCCCTCCCAAGATCAAGGAGAATAAACGAAAGCCCCAACATGTAATAGTAAAACTCACAAATCTTAAAACCAAGGAAACCATCTTAAGGTCAGTTGGGGGAAGAGATTCCTATGTACAGAGGGAGGAACATCAGATAATGTCAGACCTGTCCATAAAGAACTGGCAAGCCAGAAAGGACTGGCAAGACATATTCAGGGTATTAAATGAGAAGAACATGCAGCCAAGAATACTTTGTCTGACAAGGCTGTTATTTAGAATGGATGAAGAGATAAAGAGCTTCCATGCCTGGCAAAACTTAAAGAATATATGACCACTAAGTCAGCCCCACAAGAAATATTAAGGGAGGTTCTATAAAAGGAGAAAGACCCCAAGAGTGATATAGAACAGAAATTTACAGAGACAATCTATAGAAACAAGGACCCCACAGGCAACATGATGACCATAAAATCATATCTTTCAATAATCACTCTCAACATGAATAGCCTAAGTGCTCCCATAAAACATCACAGGGTTGCAGATCAGATAAAAAACAGGACCCATCCATATTCTGTCTACAAGAGACTCATTTTGAATCTAAAGATATACCCAGATTGAGATTGAAGGGATGGAGAGCTATCTTTCATGCCTATGGACCTCAAAAGAAAGCTGTGGTAGCAATTTGAATATCAGATAAATTAGATTTTAAGCTAAAGACGGTAGTTAGAGATACAGAAGGACACTATATCATTCTTAAAGGTATATCCAACAACTAGATCCAACAATTGTACATATCTATGCCCCCAGCATGGGAGCAGCCAACCACAGAAGACAACTGTTAACCAAAATAAAGAAACACATTGATAATGATACATTAATTGTAGGAGACCTTAACACTCTATTCTCAGCAATTGACAGATCATCTAAGCAGAAAATCAACAAAGAAACAGAACTTTGAATGACACACTGGACCAGATGGACCTCATATATATATACAGAGCATTCCACCCTAAAACAACAGAATACTCATTTTTCTTGAACACACATGGAACTTTCTCCTCAATAGACCACATCTGGGTCACAAATCAGTCTCAACCCATACTGAGATTATTCCCTACATATCCTCAGACCATAACGTTTTGAAACTGGAACTCAAGAAGCGTTTTTGTTTTTGTTTTATTTTGTTTTGTTTTTCGAAACAAGAAAAAGTTTCGAAGAAATTCAAACACTTGGAAGCTAAAGACCATGCTGCTCAAAAATGTTTGGGTTAACCAGGAAATTAAAGAAGAACTTAAACAATTCATGGAAACCAATGAGAATGAAAACACATCAGTCTGAAACCTATTGGATATGGCAAAGGTGGTCCTAAGGGAGAAATACATGGTCATCCAAGCCTCATTCAAAAAAATAGAAAAATCCCAAATACAC